CACCATGAAAGCAAAAAAATTCTAATAATAATTATAATAATACTTCCAACTTTGTTTATTTCGTTTGAAAATCATTAACAAAGATGTAGGATCTCAAAATGAAATTTTTGCCAGCGATTACTAATGAAGGAAAATAGATGTATATATAGGGCAACATATGGGGCAGCGGCCCCCCCTATTTTTATACTAAATTTTTGATTAAGTTTTAATTGATATGAGGTGTTTCTCTGTTTTGTTTAAAGGTACAACTAATGAGGAATGTATGATGTGAATTAGACTCCTATAGAGTTATTAAATTTTTAATGAAACACTATTTTGTAAAAAGTGTCGAAATGGGCCCATTGCCCCACCCCCGCGGCAATGGGCCCATGGGCTTGGGGCAAGGCGCCCACCCATCACAATTGCATATTTTTCGTTTAAAAATGATAAAACAACACTCTACAGGAAAACAATAAGAAAAATGTATTAAAAAATATGACATTCATTCATTTATTAACAACTTAAAAATCATATCCTTAACTTGAAAAAATATGCTCTTGGCCTAAAAATTCTATCACTGACGCGAAGAAAAATATTTCATTGACATAAAAATATATATCCTTGACTTGAAAAATATATTTTGCGATAAAAAATTCATCCTTGACATGAAAAAATGTACCCTTGACTAGAATAAATATATTTAGTTGGCTCTTTGGCGTAGGCTGAAATCAACTTTTGGCAAGGCAAGAGTCAATAACTCGATAAAAGGTCATAAATACGCATAACTATAAACTAGAACCTGCTGCCTTTAAGGCGGCAAATCAAAAAATCATGCAATATGAAATGTAATTTGTAATTCAAAAAGCTAGTCATAGTTTTGAAAAGGTTATTGAGGCAAATCTAATGATGTATAACGCAAGACTTCACTGAGGGATATTGAGCCCACCATGGGCGCTTTGCCCCGTGACACGCGTGGGCCCGCTGCCCCAACTAGGTATCATTTCAATTTATATCGTGTCAACATTTTATTTTAAAAGCTAATAGTCTAAACTTGAACTCAAAATTATCCCTATAAATATTACTTTCAAAATATAATTCACAGTAATTTCAAAAGCTTCATCTACAGTGATGTGTATAAGAGACAGGGCCTGATGGGCGTGCAGCACAGAGTATCTCCAAAAAGTCGTCTCTAGATTTCAAGGAGAATTGCTTCGGAATATACGGTTTTATTATGGTATCCAGTTCTTTGGTTGTTTTGTAGATTGGAGACGTGACTTGAGAGATGATGGGTCTGAGCGGATTGCCTTGCTTGTGGTTTTTAA